CAACCTTGATGAAGATGCCCTGAAACACTACATAATACTGAATCATCAAATTAAAAAGGTCCCATTATCACCCATATACCATGCTGTTGGCAGATTGTATTAATTTGTTTTTACAAATGTTTAACAGCAGATGCTGAAATTAAAAGGGGTTCCTTGTTATGTTAAATTAACCAGAACATTCAATTAGCAAAACACTCTACTTATCAGGATATAACTAATATATCCTACTTCTAATTTGTTTGTAAGAGATTATTTAGACAGGATAACTTAGACTTTACACACATGTGCTTTTTTCTGCAAAGAGTAACAAGTAAATATCTGAAAACTTAATTTGAAAATTTCCCAATGATGCATAATTTCAGAAACACATTCTCAACTGCCTTCAGGAAAACTCTTAGCACTCAGATGTCACCAAAAAAAATCATCTAAGAATCAAGAAAAAGTTTTAAAATTATATATTTAACAATAAGAATACATATTTTCAAATAAAAAACTGTGTTCTAATTATTGTTTTTAAATATCCATTAAGTCAAATACTTAATAGAAAATGATGTACCTGAATGCTGTTGACTGCCAGTGGGAAATAAAAGGTCTCATCATACTGGAAGTGCTTTTAAGACTTTTTGGTCTACTAAAATTAGGGATGGGGCAGCTAGGTGGTATAGTGGATCTGGGCCTGGAGTCAGACTCATCTTCCCAATTTCAAATCTAGCCTCAGACACTTACTATCTGTGTGACCCTGAACAGGTCACTTAACCCTGTTTGCCTCAGTTTTCTCATCTGTAAAATCTAGAGCTAGAGAAGGAAAAGCAAACCATTCCAGTATCTTTGCCAAGAAAACCCCAAATGGGGTCACAAAGAGTCGGACACAACTGAAAAATGACTGAACAACAAAATTAGGGATAGGAATTCCCAGACAAGGAAAACCCTTCTCCCAATACTGGTCTGCACTTTTTCTGCAACTCAGAGCCTCAGAGCTGCCAGGACTGAAAGGCTAAGTCATTTGTGCAAGGTCACACTTAACAGTACTTATGAAAGGAAGGACCTGAACCTAGGTCTTCTGGACTTCACGGCCAGCACTCTATTCACTCTAAAATTATCAAAAGTTAAAAAAATAAAAATAAAAGACAGCCATCTGAATTGCTTCTAATTCTTCTCTATGAATAATTTCCTCAAATGATATATCACTGGTTTCTTCCTGATGTTGGCAAAGTGGTATTTCTTTAAGAGTGGAACAGAGCAAGAAAGGCTTGACTACAACAGATTTTCTCTAACAGAGCTGCAATTTACAAGGCTCAACCTTCTTTGCAAATAGACCTTGCCTATTGTCAGGTAGACAGTAAGAAAGAGTTTGGAAAGTGCTTACCCATGTGCCAGGCACTGTACTAAGCACTGGTGATATATTTTTTTTAAAAAAAGGCAAAAACACAGTCCCTGCCCTTAAGAAGTATGCACTCTGTTTAAAAGGATAGAAGGAATAGTGAAGATGAAAAGAAAGAAAGAAGACAGGCTCATTGCAGAGCCTGCTCTAAAATGGATAGACAATGCTTTTTAAAAACCCCACAAATTACAGAATCATTGAATGCCAAAGATGGAAGACCTTACTGCTCATCAAGTTTAAGGGAAGCAGGGGGTGAGATAGTGACTTGTTGTCCCTCTGAAGATTATCTGGAATTTATTCTGCCTATCTTATTTGTACATAATATTTTCATGGACATTTTTGAGTTTACACTAAAACTTTCTTAAAAATGGTTGTGTTTTTCAGATCCTTTACCAAACTTCTCCTAATTTTCAGAAGCCCCGAAAAAGCATAGTAATCTCTGACTATGGGTCAAAGTTGTGAATATTAAATAGGGTACCTTAAGCAAAAGAATTGTTAATAACAACCCAATTTTCCCCATCAAAATAATTCACTTTTTGTTTTCTTTTTGAAATACTACTTCTCCTTCCCTACTTCTACCCACTTTTTGAGAACAAAGCCTGAACTAAAGTCATACACTGTAGAGACCATCTAATTTGCTCAATGAGTAATGTGAGTCCCAGAGAGATATGCCTTCAATACACAGCAAAGTAGTGGTAGAAGTAGACTCAAGTCCACTCCTTGGATAGGCCAAATGACAAAATGAACTGCTGTTCATTAGTTCCTTCATCTAAACAAGTACAGAGGACTAGATTGGACAGAAGATCATACATCACTAGTTGATCCATTTAAAGAGCTGTGACAAAGGAAAAAAATTCTAATCAACTAGTGCTAAGGTTTTATATAGTTGAAAAAAAATTCACCAAGGAACAATACTAACAACAAGGCCTAAAAGTGTTACATATTTGTCTCCTTTTGAATAAGACAACTAAGAATCTAATTCCCAGAGATAAAACCCAATTACTTGTAAGCTTGTTTCTCTAAAGACTGCCCCTGGCAGGCATGCTACCTTAAAGTTTCCAGAAACGCTTCCTTGTATTACCACAGATGTCAATCAGTCAACAAGCATTTATTCAATAACATGCCACACACTGTGCTAGGTGTTGAAGAGCTTCTATATGTCCACAGTTCCACATGTGCCACTGACTGAGGGACTAAGCCCCTGTCCTTTCAAACGACCCTTATCCCTATGCTGTTGTCTAGGGTTTCTTCAGCTCACAATGACACATGAGAATAGAAGGAAGCTGTTAGAAAGTAACAAAAAAAGTAACTTCAAAGAAGTAAGCCCTTAGAAAGGTACCTAATTCATGAACCAGGAAAAAGAAAGGAATCTTAACAGCTGCAGGAAATGGAGAGCAGGCCTGAACAATGGAACATGGAAGCATATATGTTAGAAATGTTACAGAATGGTAGGCCTTAGAAATCATTCAGTTTAATCAAAATGCCACCTACAGAGACAGGCATCAAGAGTCATCTCTGGAGAAATGCCCTCTAAATAGGTTGGCACAGATTATTTTGATAATTCAATATCTTTTTCCATTGAGATGTAGACATACAATAAAGTTTTTAAATCTCTTGGGTTTTTTTTTAAATCACAAGCAATTCAAATAAAAAGGTTTTTAAATACTGTTCCAAAGCTTGTATATGCTGACATATATTAAATGTCAATAAATGAACCTCAGGTTAAAGAGACATGGTGTCCCCTTACCCAAAAGAAGCATCAGGGTACCATCTGGCCTCCACATGAACCCTCCCATCTACCAGGAAACAATGACCATAGATTTATCTTTCTTCACGTTTCTAACTAGCCTTATTTTTTTAGCCATAATTCAGTGACCTCAAAAAGGGACAGAACATAAGCAAATAAAGTTCCCAACCTACAAAAGGGTTAGAGCTTCAAAAATTTATCTATAGGTCAGATGTTTAAAGCCAGAAGCACATTTTCTCACAGGAAGTATTTTAACTGGCGGCTAGATTCCTAGGCCAATTCACAAAAATATCCTCAATCCATAACATGACTACAGTAGTATTATACTATACTATGCTAGTACACACAATTAGTATTGTATCGATCATCCCAAACCAACACTTAAGACATTGTTTCTATGTGAAAATATATTCCAACTTAAAATCTTCCTTCATTCTCTCATCATCTACCCATTCCTTCTCCTCCTACTCCCATCAAGTTGTTAATAGGCTTCATACAACTAAAAAGAACTTCAGACATTCTGAACTGTAAATGAGAATGGAACAACAGGGGATTCTGAACTGAATGTAATTTAAGGCAATACATATTAGTATGCCTCTAAGATAATAATGCATTTGATCACTGAAATTATAGTTTATCTCAGTTCCCCTGGAATGGCATTAACAGGTTTGATAGATTTCCTAGAAAACATGACTCAAAAAGGAGAAAAAATAACTAATACATTAGAGACAATCAGTAGTTACTTGATAAAAATCTAATGTATCTTCTAGATGTTGTTCCAACACCCAAATCTTATATAAAGGATGTCCCTTTATTTTCTCCACAGCACTTGAGGCAAACAGAAGCCTTCACACAAAATTTTATCTTATCTGTTCCCTTTAAATCAGAGTAAAATATGCCCATTCTTCAAGTCTGTCTGAAAAATTACCTACATCTTATCAGGGAGAGTATATCCACCAAGAAACTCCAGGAGATGGAGAAAAATTACTTAAGATTTCAGCGATATAGTTAGGGTTATTAGATCTAATGATGTGTGGTCTGAAAGAAAAATGCCCTTTCAGCTAGGTGGCACAGTGGATAGAGCACCGGCCCTGAAGTCAGGAGGACCTGAGTTCAAATCTGGCCTCAGACCAAACACTTGACATGTGCTAGCTGTGTGACCTTGGGCAAGTCACTTAACCCCGATTGCCTCACTAAAAAAAAAAAAGTAAGTAAAATGCCCTTTAATCAAAAAGCATTAATTAGTAGTAATACTTACCTGGCTCCAGAGTCAAACTTTCTAAGGTAAACATAATGAAGATACTCAGTTATATATGTTTACGCAAATAGAATAAAAAGCTACTTTTACACTGGGCTTAAATATACCTGGCATTAACACCCTTCATATGTTTGTTATAGCTAATAAGCAAAACAAGAAATGTGGGCTCCCTTAAAAGTCTATGAAATATTCTAGTAACTAATGTTTGCTTTCACAGTGAAAATGGCAGAAAAGAACTCCCTATGTTAGTAATATTAGCGACAGAGAGGAAATGGCTCAAAAGCTACTGAATCAGAGGTACCTTTAGAAGTATTTACTTCTTTCAGTTAGCCCAAAGTTTTTTCCTTTGTGGGTCAACAAGAGGAGAGTGAATTAGAATAGAATTGATTCTGCTGTAATCTGGTTGATAATGACATATAATGCAGATCTCAAGGGACCTGGATTAAATTCAACAAGTTTCCACTGGTTTATACTTTCTGGATTTGTGCAACTAAGTATATTTATGTATTATATGTTCAAGTGCATCACGTTTCACTAAACACAACTGGTCAATTAGTAACTTCTTCTGATGTCTTACTCAAAAAAAATTAATTCTCATGTGCTTTAGAACTTACCCCTTATCAAAGAAAGATGTATGCCCTGAACGAGAGAACTTTGTGCTGCTGCTATTCACCAGGCCACAATTAACATTCCCTGAAATATAGGATTTCCGTGATGCTTGATCCTTTGCAAAATTCCTGCAAGCAGCTAATTTGGATTCTAAGGCCTAAATAAAGAAAAAAGAAAATTTGCTTACATACAGTAATCTATATTTCAAACCACTTCTGTATTCTCACAGATAACTGATGCCACTCACCCATTTTATAATAAAGGCTACAGGCTATCTAAATAACTTAGAAAACTAGAGCTATAATCAAACAATAATCAACTAATAAAATAAGTTTCTTTGTAAGGAACTCAAAACACTTTATAAACTTAATGAATTATTACTTAAGAATTCTCTGAAGGAAGATATCATTCTACCCTAACAGTTAATAAAAATTCTAACACAAAAGTGGTAAAGCCAGGGATGGATTTCAGGTCTCCTAGTTCTCTATCCACTCTTCAACTCAACACAATACATACTTTTTACATGGGAATGATAATAAAAATTTTAACTATATCCAAACATCTCCTTTGAGCTCTTCTAAATCTGACTAACTTTTTAGATTATACAGATGGTAAAAGAGCTGGAATTTAAACCCAAGTCTTCTGACTCCAGATCTGGTGCTCTTTAAAGTACAACTTTATCATATAATCTCTTACACTTCATGTCTATAATTAAAATGTTCACAAAAAAGTAAATACTGGTGACTTCTCATATAGCCCCCTAAAAACCTCCTATGGCTTTTTGCCAAACTGGAGAAGCCAAATTAGCATGTTAACTACATGATCCATCTCATTACTCCAGTTTAGTAGATGGACAAATATGGCACAGGGGAAAAAAAAAAGAATAATTCTTATAATAAACAATATGACTATAAGGGACTAGGGGTACCTACCTAGTATATTATTAGTTCACAATTATATAACACTTTAAGGTTTATAAAGCATGCACAACTATTGTGAGAAAGGCATCTTATTCATAAAAATAATTAAACAATTGATTTGAGAAATTAATTTGAACTTCTCCATATTTTAAATAATATTTTATTTTTCCCCAATTACACATAAAGACAATTTTTAACATTCACTTAAAATTTTTTTTTAAGTTCCAAACCTCTCCCTCACCTTCCCCCTCCCTGAGACTGTAAGCAATTTGATATAGGTTATACATGTGCAATTACATAAAACATACTTCCATATTAGTTATGCTGCAAAAGAAAACAGAGACCAAAAGAAAAAAAGAACCATGGAAAAAAAAAGGAAGTGAAAAATATTATGCTACGATCTGCATTCAGACCCCATTAGTTCTTTCTCTGGATGTCTACAGAATTTTTCATCATGAGTCTTTCAGAATTGTCTTGGATTCTGTATTGCTGAGAACAGCTAAGTCATTCACAGTTTCCATAGTTGAAAGAGAACTTTCAACAAGTAAGGAGACTAAGAGGCTGAAACCTGAACTCCTTCCCCTTTTCCATTTACCCTTAGAGATTTATTATGAACCACCATCAAGGCAGGAAGGGAGGAAAGATTAAAAAAACTCAATCAAATGAGTAATTAAGTTGGACTGATCATGCCTTGCTAAAACACAAAAAACAGAAATGTGAAGTTGGTTTTCTATTAAAAAGTCTTCTAGACACTACATCCTATGGTTTCTCAGTTTAAACATTTTCTTAATAGTAAGAAGGGTTCCCTTCTATTCTTTGCTTTCAACACAATAGAGAGCAATCATATGGTAACTGAAACTTAAAGGGATAAATAGCTGAGTGCTCACCCCTACTTTCCGCAAGAGATCCCCCACAATGTTTAATGCTGATATCCTTGCAGAAGGAGTTAGTGGGCTCGTACCAAAACCATTTGGTATACCTATAGGAAATAAAGATGTGTTTATAATTCTCTAAGTTTTGCACATATTACATTTATTCATCATAAGCATAACCTGTTTCATTAACTCCTACCTCTACTTTTTAATGATTAAATTAATTCTAAATGTACACACATCCTCCTCTCCTTCATGTCTCCTGCTTCAAAGAAAACAAAGCAAAATGGATTCAGCACTGACACGAAGCCATAGCCAATTCCGGATTTACCACAGACTTTGTTCTCCACTGAAAGTAAAAGTAAATACCAAGATATAGAGAATAGATTCTATAGCTGTTGACACCATTTATAAATGCACATTTAGCTTGTGCCCTCATCTATGGTAATAAGTACAACATGCAACTACCAATTTCAAAAATGAATTTTGCTCATGAAATACTAACTGAAGTATTTTCTGCTCCCCCAAACACTTTAAATATATTGTCTCATTTGAAAACACAGAAAGATCATTTTGGACACAAAATATAGAGATTTAAGAACCTTTGCCAAGCACAAAAGAAAATGCTAGATTGAGTAGGCACAGGAAAATCTGAGTGAAAATCTGTTCTAAATTATATACTAATTTTTATTTCTTTAGCCAAGGCTACCAAGTTGAAATGTTATGAAGATGAGAAAGGGGAACATGTCTACACTCCCAAAAAAGTCACAACATTAGTAAAATAAAAAAAAAATTCTCCACAAAGTTCTACTCCAATGCTTCATTATAGTATGGATTTGACCCTATGTTCTTAAATCCACCCTACCCTCCCATGTTGATTACAGAATGCTAGAAAAAAGGGCAAAAGCATGCTAATAATCACATTTTTTATCTCAAATTTTATATAATTGTTTAAACACCAAAAACTATAAAACGTAGTAGAAAACTTATTTATACCAAAAATTCTACAAAGTACCGGCATAGATGGATCACATAAAATCAAAAGCTATTCTTATATGCAATGGGAAAACACTAGAAACTTTACTAGTACCTACAGGAGTAAAGGACTGCCTTTTTCCCTGATGTTATGTGACACAGTTCTAAAAATGCTTTGCAATAAAACAAAGAGAAAAAATAAAAGGTATAAACACAAGCAGAGATGAGACTATCCCTTTGTACTGATGACATAATGCTTTACTACTAGAGGCAGCAAGGTTTAGTGAGCACAACAGAGCTGGCTCTGGAGGCAGGAAGACCTAAATTCCAGTCTTGCTTCAAGCACTGTACTGACTACATGACCCTGGGAATGTTACTATCTGTATGTGAGAGACTTTAGAGATTTTAAACTCTCTAAGATTTAAAATTGCAGAGTTGGTGCTCATCTGCATTGGTTAGAGGGGCCTTCTGCATCTAGTAATTCTCTATACCAGTGAAATTACAGGTCTAGTCCCTATACCTGTTCTTATGATGGTATGCTTTAAAAATATTAGGGAATCACCAAAGAAACTAATTGAGACAATTAAGTTTCAGTCAAGTTGAAGACTACAAAATAAACCAACAAGTACCAGTGTTTCTTGGTAACAATAACAACATATGAGAAGCAATAACAGAAAGTTCCACTCAAAAAAATGTGTAAAATACCAGGGAATCAACCTACCAAAGTACACTCAATACCCATTAAAGAAAAAACTACACAAAATTCCTTAAAGAAATAAAAAACAACTTAAATAACTGGAGGGATATTTGGTACTCAAAGCTATGATAGTACCACCTAAATTTAAGATTTAATGCTACAGAAATCAAACTGCAAAGGGACAACTCTTCACAAAGCTAGACAAAATAATAACAGAATGTATCTGGAGAGAAGATAGATCTAGAATACTTATTTTTTAAAAAAATGAATGGTATTCCTGACCTTAAACTATATTATAAAGTCAAGTTATCAAAACTATTTTGGTACTGGCTGAAAACATAAAAGTAGATCAAAAGACCAGAAAAGACAAGGAAGAATCAGAAATAATTTAATTCAATAACAGAGTCAAAAGAACTCAAAAATGTATCTAGGAAAGAATTCCCTATTTGATGAAAATTACTAGACAAACTGGAAAATAGTCTGCCAGAAATTAGCTTTAGACCAACAACCCATTATACACTATAATAAATACAAAAAGGGCTATGCAACCTGAATATTAAAAATCATACCAAAAAAAAGTAGATTATATGCCTTTCATGATAATGACTAAGGAAATTCTTAAAGAAGGAACAAGTTAAAACTTACTGGCTACAAGTTCAGAAAAAGACATTTCAATGTTTAGAACTGCCTTTGTATTTTCTTTTCCTTTATTATAAATTTGGTGCTGCTTGTTTTATTAATTTAAAACTGCATTAGCTATTTTTCATTTGGTTACTCTAAATAAATGCTTATATTCACATAATGACATGCTGGTATGGCAGTTACTCAGAGTTTTAGTTCAGTTCTGAGCACCTAACCTAAGGCCTGAGCTCCGCTATGCTATTACAACCCCAACTCACCACCAGAAACAAGGGAGCAGCAAAATCCAAACAGAACCTCATAAACCCCAGTCAGATTTGCCCCAATCCATAAACAAATGATAGGAAAGAAAAAAAGATAACAAGTTCCTGAAAGGAATCAAAGCTGCTTTGGCTGACTGGGGGGTCAATGCCTTTCAAAGCAGGTTAGAACAATGGCCTATGGCAGGGTGGAGAGACACAGGATTTAGGGCAAGGTGAAATATTTGTTCCTTTCTCTTATCTCTCTTCATTCTTCTACTTCACTCTTAATAACTTTACCATTCTGCTTTTCCCCCACCCCAAAAGTCTCTCTGCTTTTCTTTGTTTGGATGTATTTTTCTCTTTTAGACACTCTTTCTGGTTTGAATGTAATTCCTCTTCCTCTTTTCCCTGGATGTTCCTCTACCTGCAACTAAAGTATGTTGTTGTTATATAATTTGTTATATAATAAAATTTTATATACTCTGTGCTTAATTTAAAAACAAGTTAGTTAAATGTCATTTTTTTCTCTCAAAATGTTTTTTAATTTGTACATTTCCTCAGTGTTTTCTTTTGGCAAGTCATCCATCCAAAAAAATGGTTTATATACCTGCTATATATAAAAACACTCTTTTTAGCTTTTAAAGTCCTTCTTAACCCAGCCCTTCCTACTTTTCCAGTCTTATTCCTTATTCCTCTCCATATGCTCTGCGATCCAATGACACTGGTGCTGTTTTTCGAACATGACACTCCTCCAGCCTCTAAGCATTTTCACTGTCCCCAATGCCTGAAGCCTCTCACTCCTCATCTCCGCCTCCTGACTTCTTTCACGTCTCAACTAAATTCCAACCTTTTGCAAGGCGGCTTTTTCCCAGTTTTACTTGATCTTAGTTCCTTCCCTCTGAGACTACCCTGAAATTTTCCTATCTATATCTTGTTTCGACATAGTTGTTTATATGTTGTCACTCCCATTACAATGGGAGTTCTGAGAGCTGGTTTTTTGTTTTTTGTCTTTCTTGGTATACCTAGCACTCAGCACAGTACCTGGCCCATACTAGGCACTTAATAATGCTGGTTCACTAACTAATTAGAAGTGTTCTGCCCTTTTAATAAAGGCTCATTTAAATGTGACATACTTAATAGAGAACTAGCTTCCAAGTCAGGAAGGTCTAGTTTTCAACCCCTAACTATGACTATGTGATCCTAGAAAGCTAATTAATCTCTAAGTGCCCCAAAGCAACTCTCTAAGATTACAATTTGCAGAGCAAGGGGTCAATCTGCACTGATAAAAGTAGTTTTCCAATCAAGAGTTCCCACAGGGGTATCACTATGCCAAAGATATCATAGGCTTAGGTTCACCAGTATCCCCAAATATCCTGCTTAATCGTAAAACTATTTTAAGTTGACATTCTACAGCTGGGAAGAGAAAAGAAATTACAAACCTTTTGGTGAAGGAAAGCTGTTCTCTGTCCCTTTCCCCACAGGAGTGGCTGGCAAGGAAAGGGATGCCTGTACAGCAGAATCCATTTTTTCACAATCTAGAGTTGGAGAACTAGGAGCCGACTTTCTGGTTACTTCTTGTTGCCTTTCACGTACTGCTAGTTCTTGTCTTAAATCTACAATTTAAAAATATTTAGGTAATAACACTTATTGGAAGTAAGAGACAAAGCATAGCATATCATTCAGGAAGCCATACCTGAATGGTAGCCCATGTAGCCCATCACATTCTTTCGATAGTATCTCAATTATACATTTTCCAAACTATTCAATTTCTCTTATTTATATATCACAAGGTGTCTACTGAGTTAACATAATGACTCAAGTGTTTAAATGATGTCTTAGATCTTTAAAAACGTTTATTCAGCTCTGCTTCCAGACTGGCCCCACCACTATCACCCAGAGGAGCAAGGCCTGTGGAGAAAGAGCCTGCCATGCCCATTCCTATCAATATCCACTGGTGACCAACTGCTACTATCAGGGAGGTAAGCCTAAGAGCCCTAGAAATAGCAGTACTACCTCACATCACTACTTCTAATCTGCCCCAAAGCGAGCAACCCTTGTGGAAATGTGACCTGTGTAGGTGCTGAAGCTGCCACCTCCCTGACAGCCACAATTACCAGACTCAGAAAAAAAAATTCTTAACACCTGATTTGACATCAGAAAGTGACAAGGTTTTATTAATGGAAACAATACTAACGAAGTGTTACCATCTGCCTTATTTCTGAAACCTTCTATATGTGTGTCCCCCTAATAGGATATGAACTCCATGAGAGCAGAAGTTGTTTAAGCATCCCCACTGCTTAACACAGTGCTTTACACATAGTAAGCACTTAAATGCTTTTCCATTTATTCAAAAACTGTTAAGTGCCTACTATGTGAAGTCTTGAGAATAATTACTTGTGCCATTGCATACCCAGGTTAAAAAAAAAATCAAGATGAGCCAAAAACATATCAGGTGATGGGCTGAAAAGAAATTTAATATACTTTATTCCTTCCTAATAGCTTTCCTGAAAGAGTAATGGAATTTATATTCTACTACTAGCAGGTGATGTATTCCCTTAACATACTAACAGGGAAAGAAAAAAAAGAAACCCAATGAAGAAAAGAGCAAGCAGGAAGCAATGATTTTTTTAAAATATCAAATGTTTTTAATGACTTCCTGAAAATTATAACAAAGGACCTGAATTCCTCCACTAGATTAAAATCTAAAGACTTCAAATTCTCTGGTCAAAGGAGACACTAGTGTCAACAGTGATCTCTCTTTATGGAACCCACTAGATATTTTTAAAATCCTCCTCCTTGATGACCTCTCTAGGCCATTTGACATTCACTTTGTTCCTTAATTTTTCTCCTTTACTTCAATGACAAGGATACTTCCTGGTGCTCTTCCTATGTCTACAATTCCTTCTGTTCACTCCATTGACTTTTTCTTTATCCTCTAACCTCCTCTGTTCATCTTTCAAGGCTTGAACTTCAGCTCTTCTCCCTCTAAGAATTAATTCATATTCTCTTATGAATTCAACAGCTATCTTTTGGCTAATAACTCCCAAAACCCTATCAAGTCACTTAGAAGCTAATGAAGGGTTTGAAGCCAGGGGCTCCTTAAGGAAAAAGGAAGTTAGAGAAGGGGAGCTGTAAGTTGTAGGTATTGATTGAGGCATGGAAAAAATTCTGTAGGATGGGAAAGGACAGCTACTTCCAAGGAGGTAATGGTAAGACTTTCAAATGGAAATGAACTGCAAACACTTGAAAACAAAACTAGAGTTCAAGTACAAGCTACAGGATAGGAATATAGATGTAGAACACACAAAGGTGCATCTAAAGTTCCTGAGAATTGGATGAGTACTCTAAGGGAGCAAAGAACCATTAAATATTCACAGGAAAATGTCAAGATCAGGAAGTTAACAGCAAATGTAATAATAAAAGTAACAATAGCAGCTAACATTATCTACACAGCCCTTGAAAATTTGCAAAGTGCTTTACAAAACATATGTTGTCTTATTTGATCCTTACAATAACCCTGTGAGGTAGGCCTATTATTACCCCCATTTTACAAATAAACAATCTGCGACTGAGTAAGGTTAGGTGATTTGCCCAAGATCAGACAGCTAGTAAATCTCTGAGCCAGGATTCAAATTCAGATCTTCCTGCCTGCAAGTCTAAAGCTCTGTTCACTTTGCCACATAGATGCCACATGGAATGTGAATAAGTGTTTCAGACCAATCACTGCAGGAAAGAACAAACTGTACCTCTTGCTTCATCCTTTAGCCTCTGTACAGAAACCAGCAAAGATTCCTTTTCATCAAGTTCACTTTCCAAAAATGCATTTCGTTCAATGGCTTGATTCAGCCTTTGTTCAAAGTCTTCCAGCGAAACTATTGTAGCCCTAAAAATAAAAGCCAAAATATTAGATTTTCATGAAATAAAGTATTTACATGCAACATATGCAAACAGTAAAGACAAAATTATTCCATTTTTTACTTTTTTTAAGATTATTCCAGCCAAAATGATTTCTTTTCCTCTCCCTCTGAATTCAGACAGCCCTTACTGTCATACGGTAACATGGCATAGCAGATAAAGCAATGGAAGTAGTTATGAAACTTGGACTGAAGTGTTGCCTCAGAAGCTCATTAGCTACATGATCAAAAGAAAGTCACTGAGATTCTCATAGACTCTGTTTTCTCATCTGTAAAAAGAAGATAATAACAAGTATACTACCAATCCCACAGTGCTGTTGTGAAAAAGTACTCTGCAAGCCTTCAAGTATTACATAAAGGCAAGTGATTACTATTACCCTTAATGTGTTTTTTTATTAATGACTTGAACTGTGAATTTTTCTATTTTTCTCTCTCCAATTTGAGAAGAAGAATTTCTGAGATCTCTTTTTATTCTTCACCTTCCCCCCTTCCCACCATCCTGGGGACATTAAACTTATGTGTCTATGCAGGTGGTGTGAGTATTCACATGGCTAACGACTTTAAAATGAACACAACTTAGAATATATGCTCAAAAAATACCTGATTGACTTGTAAGAGAAGTATCAGATGCCCACTGTAGTTTTTAAGCTTCACTGTTTGCTCTGTCAGGAAGAACCCTTTTCTAAGGATTCTTGTCCCTATAATGGAGATAGAAGTTCTGACAAGGAAGAGCCTGGGCTGTCTCTGACCCTCAAGATGGAACACAGCAGGTCACTATGAGAACTCTAGTCCTATTTCGGTCTCAAAATTCAGCTGAAGAAAGTGACCTGACTTTTATCACAGATACTAAAGACTCACAAGATAAATGCAGAGAATTCTCCTCCTTTAAAAAGTCAGTGAAAGTCCTATCATTCATTCTAAGATACTAATGCTAACCAAATAATCCCAAAATGCCTAAGGATAAAAAGCCTCAAAAGGTCTGAGTTCTTCATTGGAGAAGTCCACATGGGACTATCTCTAGTTATGTTTCTAACCTGAGATTCCCTATTTTTTGCCTGGTGTCTTGTTGGAATCTTTAATGCCACTGACTTTGGTCAAATCATGGCATTACCTGAATCATCTATTTACCCTGCTCTAGTTGAATCTTCCCTTGTTTTGAAAAATAGGATATTTTCCCAATGGATAAGTGATCAAAGTTTAAGGACAAATAGTTCTACAAAGCGTAATTGGAAGTTATTAAAAACCATATGAATGAATTCCAAATCATTAATAAGAAAAATGGAAATCAAAACAATTCTAAAGTTTCACATTATACTCAGGAAATAGGCAACTATGACAAAAGATGAGAACACTCCATGTTTGGACAGTTGTGGAAAGACAGGCACATTAATACACTGTTGTGAACTGTGAAAAGATCAAACCACTCTGGGAAGAAATCTGGAATTAAGCAAAGAAAGTAACTAAAATTTATGGACAGGGGTTTATGAGGGTCTCTTTGGATTTTACTGCTCCCTTGTTGCTGGTGGTGAGCTGGGGTTGTAATAGCACAGCACAGCTCAGGCCTTAGGTTAGGTGCTCAGAACTGAACTAAAACTCTCTAGTTATTGGTTCCTTTTATTAAGAGGATTTGTTCTGTGAAATTTGGATTCCAAGGGCCACCCCAGAGGACCTAGAGGGCCACGCTTGAGGACCTAGAGGGCAACGTGTGGCCTTGAGACCACAGATTCCCCACCCCTGGCCTAGAGGGACCACGAAAGGCCTATGGTAAAGGTGGGAGGGGCCCTCAAGTTGAGTCTTGGAAAAAACCAGATAAACTAAGGCATAACTGAGGAGGGAGAGGATTCCAGGCATAAAGGACAGCAGTGCAAAGGCAGAGAGATGGGGGATAGCGTGCTGTGTGCAGGAAACAGCAAAGAAGCCTTTAGATTAGACCGTAGATTGTTCAGAGAAGCATAAAAAGTATAGAGAAGAGGGGCAGCAAGGTGGTACAACGGATAGAGCACCAGCCCTGGAGTCAGAAGGACCCATGTTCAAATATGGCCTCAGACACATATTTTTAGTTGTGTGACCCTGGGCAAACCATTTAACCCCGATTGCCTCACCAAAAAAAAAAAAAGTATAGACAAGAAAGGGATGAAGGGGTCACATTGTGAAGACTTTAAGTATCAGAGGACTTTATATTCGAACCTTTAGTGGGGCCAAGGGCAGAGAAAAGAGAAATGACAGGATCAGACCTGTGCTTGAGGAAAATCACCTTAGGAGATGAGTACAGGATAAATCTGAGTGGAGAGAAACATGAAGCAGGGAGTTCTTAGTGAATGTATGCCACAATTTTTTTTTTCTGTGACATACAAGGGAAAGTCTCCAGAGGAAAGGGTGTAGAAAGGGAGTTCTGGGGGAAATTTGGGATGACATCCAGAACAGGCACTGCGGAGGGGAAGAACAAATCTATTAGAGTAGAATAGAATGATTGCCTCATTGCAGTGAGGGCCCAGGAGTTATTACAGAAAAGGAGACAGACTGTGAGAGTAACCCAGAGTTGTGTTTTGGTAAGGCATGATAAATGACAGAACAAAGGGAAAAGAAATTAGAGAGAAGAAAATAGTGTAGAGATGAACTACTTCACCAAGATGTCATAATAGTTAAAGTAGGGTGATGGCCTGGTAAGGAGCTAAGGGGTGGAGGGAATAGAAACTATGGTAAGGATGAAGGACAAGATTAGGGGTTTAGAAAAAACAAAAGAAAAATGAAATTAAATGCCTTCTACTTAGAACTGGCCAACTTTGTTACTAAAGAAGGGATGAGAAAATGTACCTCTCTCCACTAGAAAGGTGGAAGACTACGATTGTGGAATCCTAAATATACATCAGTTAATGTATTGACTAATTTCATAGAACTATTTTTTTTCCTATTTCTTGCTGTAAGGGACAACCCTCTGAGTGAGGGAGGGGAAGGGAAACACACACACACGAAGGCAATGCACAAACAAAATTCTGAGGGAAAGAAAAAGAATAAACAGGACACTTGCCCTTCTTAAGTCTTTTGGCACATCTCCTGCACTTTCAGATTTCTTTACACTTACTGACAAAGGACAAAGATAACATTTTTAAGTTCTTTCAGCACCCTGGAATGAAATCCGTCCAGTTCTGGAGACCTGATCTCTTTTTAAATAGGGTATTCCCTTACAACCTTACCAAACCAGGCTAAAATTTCCTCTTTCTTCTACTCTTTCCAGTGAGAAGACCACTCTCATTGCTTGTAAAAAAAAAAAACACACTTCTGAAATAAGGTATACATTAAACAAGAAGCAATGTATTGTTATGGAAAAACTTGGACTTAGGAGCAAAAGGTATGTGTTCAAATCTTAGCTTTGCTACTTACTACCTGTATGACTACATCTTCACTTCATCTATAAAATGAGAGGGTTGGACTAAATGACTTCTAAGGTCTATTCAAGCTCTAAATACTAGGAACCTAAGCTTTCTTTCTCAACTGTCACAATTACAGTCCCTAAACCCTGGGCCAGTCTACTCCTTACTTTTAATATATCTCTGTTCTGAACACTTTTCACTAGACTCAGTCAATTTCAAGATTTTATCCTTTTGACACCATTCACAGAAGTTCATGGTACTCAATTATATTCATCTTGGTTAAGTGACATTCCTTCCTTGTATTATATGTATCCTTTTAAAAATCTGTTCTCAGAGAAACTCTTGTAGAGCTACATTACTATGATTATTAAAGTTTGCACTGTCAAAATTTGAACTTTTAGAATTTCTTGTCCTTTCTGAGTCATTTTAGAGTCTTTAGCCATGAGAATAATGTTGTCTTTTCTCTGAACTTCTTTAAATCAGCTTTCTTGGATTCCAGAGGTTGACTAAACTATATTCTCATTTTCCTTGATATTACAGAACTACAAGATAATCAACACTTATTCCTAAGATTCCTGACATATGCCCATCAACAACTCATTTTTCATTTATTTATTTATTTGTTTGTTTGTTTGTTTGTTTGTTTGTTTATTTATTTATTAGGCAATTGGAGTTAAGTGACTTGCCTACAGTCACACAGGTAGTACGTGTCGAGTGTTTGGTCTAAGGCCACATTTGAACTCAGGTCCTCCTGACTTCAGGGCCGGTGCTCTATCCACTGCACCACTTAGCTGCCCCTAACAACTCATTTTTCCTTACATGTCAGATTTAAGTCTGGGATTAAGTTCTTTCCTTTATCACCAGACAAAATCGTAGGTAATACCAATCAAGAATTTAATAACTGCAGAATTGTACTTTCACCAGCTATTGAAAGGAGGGACTACTGAAGTTCTCTCTTACTACCACAGATATCTGTGTCAGTTTTACATTCATCCTTCACTTTTATTTGCCTTCAAAGCTGTCCCTAGGATTCAGTTTAACCTGATTCGTGTTAAACTGAATAGGGGTAAAAAGGGTTGGGGAACAGAAGAACTGATATGTTTTGCAAAGATAAAGGAATCAGCATTTATACAGTGCTTACATAGTGCCCATTTCATTCTAGGCATTGTGCTAAGTGCCAAAGTTAAGTGACTTGCCCACGGTCACACAGCTGAGGCAAGATTTGAACTCAAGTCTTCCTGACTCCAATGCTCTATCGACCGTGCCCCTCAGCTGTCTCAAAGTCCTTATATCTCTCTAGGGACAGCCGTATCTTTGAGATATGGCATTCTTCCGCTCAGAAAATACCCAGTTCCTCTCTCTGGATGGGAAAGTTAAGCCCTCAAAATAGAGGAACCTATCCCAAAGGACCCATGGGTCATATAAAGAAAGTCTGCCCTCAAAAAAGGACTAGAAACCAAGCCTATGTGGACTCATATTTTCTTTTTTTTTTTTAACTCATATTTTCAATGGTTCACTAGAAAGCACAGAAGTCACACTTAATATGACAGTTTCATGAAGCAAATCACAAGATCTACCTGAAACGGACCTTAAAGTTC